GCTGCGAGGCATTTAACACCTGAGCGGCGCATCATGGCCTCATCAACGGTAACAGTAACAGTAAGAGCAAGACTGACTGACTACCAACAACTGGTAAAAAATGTATATAAAAAAAAAAAAAACCCAACCGATACCGACAGGTTGTGCATTTCGATTTCGCAAAAAAACACTCATATTTCCCATCACGCACATCAGCTGCTCTGTTCACCATTCATTCCAGCAATTATTAAGCCCCAAAATATGTTAAATCATATCTTTGTATAAATGAATATTTTGTGTGAGCATCAACGGGTATAAGATACTTTTCAAAGTCATGTAACTGTCAGCGATTTGCGCAATCCCCCAAAGACAAACGAACTAGCGGATGATTTGGTTGGTTTGGTTAGATGGATGGATAGTCGTATGGCTGGAGACGAGAAAAGGCCCAGAAATTAACATTTCAATTTTTGAAGATCTTCGCATGTGTCTGCGGCTGGTTTTTTGATTGATTTTCGTTGCTAATGCAGCGAATGCCGCTGCAGCACTTTCAAAATGTAAATTTATAAATTGCTTGACACCTTTTGGAAACCTCTTGGGGGCATTAAATCAAATGATTCGAGTTAACAAAGAAAACCGTAACTGGGAAAATGACAGGGCAATGGGAAAATATAGTAATATTAATATGAAGAAACTGATTTTAAAATGGTAAGAATCTATTTTTTAATTTTAAATCGAAATATCCATAAAACTAAACCTTAATATTAACTTCCTCTTTGCTTAAAATCTCATTTCCAATGTCATAAAAATCTGAAACTAACATAAACTTCAATATTGGATTTAATAATTACCAATCTCACATATTGATTTAAGTCTTTGAAAAAACCCCAAATAAAAAGCGGAAACAAGTTTCTCTTGCTGTTTACATTTCGAGATTTCAAAAATTTGTTTGGTTTCGATGATTTATAAGTCCATAAATAATTCGGAATACCATAACTATAAAAGAAATAAACTGCGAATGGAAAACACTCAATATTAAGCGGGTAAAAAAGTTGTATTTTCCGCTGTTTTTATGCCACAAACTTATTTCCAATCTCTCAAATTTGTTTTGCCTTTGATTAACGCAAAATCCCATGAAAAACTCGTTGACACTTTCATTAAATTGAAGCGAATTTTTTCCGCATTTCTGCATTACGTTTCAAGTTGCCCTGACCAAAAGCGAGGTCCGTGCAACAATTTGCTGGCCAAAAAGAGCAAAAAAAAATACCAAAAAAAAACAGGCTACAACTTCAACTAGAGTGAAAAGCAGAAACACAAAATAAAAACACGAATTTCAGCAAATGAAAAGCAAGGAAAAAGTTTAAAGAAAAAAACTCAAGACTGCAACTGGCGGCTGCTTCTGCTTTCGTTTTCGCCTGCACGCTTCAACTGCTCCAAAACGCTCTCAGGAGGAGCGATAGAGAAAGGTAGAGTCCAGCCGAAAGAGATGGATAGAGTCTGGGGGAACCAAGTAAACGAAGCAATTTGAAGACAGCCAAGCTATGACAGCCCCGTTGCACTAAATTTTCCACAACCGACTGAGTTTGAAACCGAAACCAAAACTGTAAACGAAACTGAAACTGATTTCTTTTAGCAGTCGGTGAAAGAAAGATATATTGCCATATATGTATATATATAGGGAGAGAGGGAGAAAAAAAAAAGTACTTGAAACCTCCAATTTCAAACCGGAAATCCGACTAAAAACAAAACCAACTTCATTGACAACTATAAGACTTTATGGCTTAAGACAGTTTCAGCTTTAGATTCTTTATTTTGGAATATTTTAGCTGGCTTAAAAAAGCATTTCAGGCAAGTTAATATCTTTAAAACCTTTAAGTAACCCATTGTACTATTAATTATCTAATATCAAGTTTTTTTCTCACTGCACTTGTGTTACGTTGACCATCATTAGTTGGCTCAATAGATGACAAAATTTCTCTCACTCTTTCCTTCGTTTAGTGCTTATCAAATGCTTGCAATCAAAAAATCGTCTAAGTTTTCACTTTCTCAGTTTCGTATAGCTGCGCGAATCATAATGATAATGATAATGATGATGATGGTGGTGATGATCGTGAAGCCGGGGAGCGGAAGTTTTGCGTGTAACAATCAGAAAGATCATAATATTTGTGTTGAGGCGCTTTGTTCAGCTGATTGAGTCAGCCAGCTATTGGTAGCTCTGCCCACAACCGAAACAGTAGAAAAAAATTGTATTTAAAATGCAATTTATACATCGGGCCAACAATGGCAAGCGAAATAATGTTTTAATAAAGATGCCTTTGTCTGGCGGCGAGGCGTTAAAGGCCATCATCCCAGCATCTCTCTCTATATATGGATATTAAAACTATCCGGTGGTATCTCAATATCTGGCTAATCGTCGACAAACAACAACACGTGCCTTCCTATCAGTCTTAATGTCTCTTTCACACTTAGATGGCGCCACAACATCAGCGGTTTAATTAGCTAACAAATCTATGAATGCACGCACTCAGAAAAGGTAGTTTTAGGGGGTTTTTAAAGGTGTGGACTATCTCTCTGAAGAATGTATGTCTTAAGATGAGTTAGTAGAAGGGGTATGTAATATCTTTGCTTGATTTAACAGATAAAAAAGTGGGATTTATTCAGTAAGAAAGTTTTTATATACAGAAAAATGTTAGACACCAAAGAACAATCACTATCTTAAGTAGCTAAACAACTTTAAAGTTCATTAACCACATAAAGTGTTATTTTTTCATTTCTCGTTTGATGAATTTCTAGACACTTAATAAAATAACAAATATGTGTAGTTTGCAGTGCCATTATTTTGACCGCAAGTGTATGGTAGACCACTCTGAATGAGATTAACCCATTTTTCTGCTAATGAACGGTGCCCATTTGGCGGGGGAATTGCTTTGAATAAACCTAAATAGACTGAAGCCCATCGACAGCTAATGAAATATGCGCGCAGCGTGAAAAGAAAAGAAATGTCCAGAACCGCAAAGAGAGTGAAAGAATGAATGGTTAAGCGGTCAAATGCAAATTTCTTTTGGAATTTGGCCAAATCGAAAATGGTTTTTGGGGCTAAAAAGTTAAAGTTACAAAACAAATTTATTGCGCGACCTTTTTTTTTTTTTATTTTAGAGCTTAGGTGCAGAGAGACTCATTTGTTGTTTTGGTAAAATGTAAATGAAGTCACCGTTTGTCTGCCGACTGACTGACATTTCCCATTAGCTTAGCTCTTTCGTATTGTCTGCAGGTTCTGCTGAACTTTTGTCGGATTTCAGATGGATTTCAGTTGGATTTCATTTGGATTTCAGTTGAATTTCAGTTCAGTTTCAGCACTGCCATCGGCTGAAGAAGAACCCAACTTTACAGGGTCTTTTCGACGATTGTTTACATTTATGGATGCATAATTGGGTGCCCCTCCCCCCTCCTCCTCCTTTACTTTTTTTCTTGCTGTATTTAAATTTTACCCACTAATTGACTCCCACAAACCACCACTGCAAAGATGATGGGAAGTTGAGTTGAGAAGTTGAATTCGATGCCGAAGCCGAGGCTGTAACCGAAGCCCAATGAAACTGCTAACTCATGCCGACATCGACTTCCTTCCTCTGCCTCTCAAGCTCTTCACCAGCTTCTTCTTTCAGATATATATATATATATAGTATATATATATATAGATATATGCAAGTGTCGGGGCAATTGTCGCAATCACAAGCGGAATCGGAATGGCAACACCTACTGCAGATTTTAATTTCAGCTTTTTTCGGGACGCCTCGTTTCATTATTAAATGCATTTGTTTCGAAGGCGTGTTGGCAGTCTGAAACTCATCCATCTGTCTCACCCAGGGTCATACCGAGAGACTGAACTGAGAAAAATGGTTTTTAACCAAAATTGATCTTGAAAATTAAAACTAGAGCTAGAGAGAGAGAGAATTAGCTTAGCTTTTAGAAGTAATTTGTATCTTCTTAAAGGTTAAATATTAATATATATATCTCTCTTTTTAAGGCCAAATATTAAAATATTTGCAAGCAATATGGAGATTTCTTATTTATTGACTTGTAGACAGAAATGTACTTGTTTTAAGTTGCAAAAAATAAATAAATATGTCAAAGGTGACAAGAATTTATTTTGTGTATTGCTACTTTCAGGCGATAAATTTGTTTAATAAACTCGATTTTTTTGTATAGCTTACACATTTTTGATAAATAAATTAATATAAAATGAGAGGCCAAAATAATATTTCGGTAACTTTGTTACTCAAATTACCTCGTTATTTATATTAATTTTGTTTAATTCTGACAAGATAAAACCTAGAAAATAAACCAAAAGTGTTTCTTGACTAGAATGAAATCTTAAATGAACTTCCTTCCTTAGCAAATATCACACCTTTTTTTATCAGTGTACATATACTCGAGAAAAAGTGTCAGAAAGATAAAGACTGGCATGCAGCTAGAGTGGCTGAACTCAAATTAACTTGACATTGTGCTGCTAATTCAGCACTAATCGTTTGAATTGATGGCAAAAAAGGAACTATTTACGAAACTCAAACCGAAACTGGCCCAAAATTGTATAATATTCAAATGCGAATACGCAATGTGAGAAAAAGAAAAAGAAACCGAAATCAAAAAAAAAAAAGGCAGAGCGACAAAGAGAGATGTTGTCAACCTTGAGAGCGGCTTGTAGTTAAAGTTGTGTCTTTTCAGCTCGCATTTAAATGAAAATGAAAATGAAACTGAAGTGTAGCAAAAGGCAAAGGCAAGAGCAAAGGCAACAGCAACATGGCAAACATAGACAAACAGACAACAAACAAAAAGCGCGTAAGCAGGAAGTCCAGAGCAAAGTTAAAAACAGTTAGAGAAAAAACGTAGAGATTATGAATGGAAGCTGCTGGACTGTTGCTTTTTTTTTAAGGTTTTCCAGGAAGACAACAGGTGCTAGGGCTTAGGGTTTTCGCTTGCTTTTTGTCTGCTTTGCATGCGTGTCTCTTGGCCTCAACGAAACTCACCTTTCTGCTCAATTACTTTTGTTTTTGCTGCAAGTCGCTGGTGTTGCTGCTGCTGTTGTTGTTGTTGTGTCGAAACTGTTGCAAAATTGCTGATATTTTCCCAATGATTACGTATTCGCAGAGCGACGACTACAACTGCGACGACGAGGAAAAGTGCTTGCCCCTAACTGTTGTTATTTTTCTTACGTTTATTTATTTCTTTTAATGCTCCAACAATGATTTTCTATTATTATTTATATTGATTTTGTAATTGCCATTTGCTACAATTGCCGTGTTATGCTTTTCACTTTATTAATTTCACTTTTATTTCGATTTTTTGTGCCTGTAAACGAGTTTGCCATAAATTTTAATATTTGATTTGGCATTTAATTTTTGGACATCGAGCACGGCGATGGCACGAGTATTTATGCGTCTTTTAAACTCGCGCAAAATGAACAAAAATTTCTAATTTCTCAGAAAATATTTAATTAATTCGATCGAAATTGTTGCTATCTCGGCATTTTATGAACGCACTTCAATTGCATAACGGCGAAGACTGCGCGCACAAGAAATTCGTGTTGATGATAATGATGATGATGATCTCTGTTTGTTTGTTCACCTTTTCCTCGGCAGCTTCTTTCTCTTTTTCTCAGTTTTGTTTTCTTTTTTTTTTGAAATATTTTTTAGTGGTTTGGATTTTGGTGTTTTTTGTTTTTAACTGGACTGCCGACGAGCCAGCGAACCAAACGCACTCGACGACTTTCGCGACTCGACTGAAGAATCGTTGGCAGAGCTGGGCTTTCGTGGCGGCAGAGTCGAGCTTACCTGGCGGCCTTACCTTACCTCTGCTTACCGTAAGTTCGGTTACGTTGCTTCGGTATTTCTTTTACCTGTTTTTTACCTTGTCGCTTCATGGCTAAGTTGGCTTAATAGCATTTAGCGTGTCCAAAGCTTGCCGAAGCTTTTTTTTGTCTCGAAAAGAGTTTTCACAAGAGCATAAAATTTGCTCTTTACTTCTTTGGTTACTCTCTTAAATGGCTGCATTTTTTCGTAAATTCCCAGCAAGATCAGGTGGTCATCAATCTCATCTCCCTGCTTTCTACGCCTTAATTACATCATCAGCATATATCTTTTGGCGATATTTTTGGTTGTTTGCTAAAATTAATTTCTTTTTATTTATCATTTCGTTACTTGAAAGCTTTTTAGCCGACGATCTTTTATTTTGTTTTGATTTTTGGGCAGGCCTAACGGTTCTGGATTTTATATTTGCTTTTTATGGGCGATGCGCTGCTTAATATAATGGCTTTTTGAAGGTCAATCGAAAATGTCAAACTACCTGCGCCCGCAGAACTCTGGAATTTATGTGACAGGCAATTAAAAATCTGCATTATATAAAAAAAAAAATGCCGCTGCAGCAAGTGCATGTACCAAGAACTTGTCTGAGTTGGACGAGTGTCTTGGCTCAACCCGTTTTGCGGGCACAAATTAAATTGCAAAATCACCAGGCGCAACCAAAAGTGACACGAGGCAAATGCACCAGTTCCATCGCATTGAAATGGAATTAAAAAAAGATATACTATGCTTGTAAAATGCAGAAAACAAGACAGTTTTTATGTAACTAAAATTTTTGTATACTCTTTATTTGAATATTTGTAAAAACAAATTAATAAGATTGCTTCTTAACCTTTATGACTGCTTTATAACTCTCAGAACTAATCTGAATAAATCAAGCTGGCGTAGTACTTAATTTCTTTAACTCACAATAAACCAAATTAAGTGTACGAAAACCGTTTAAAAACTTTATATGGTCACTAATTTCTTGTTTATTGGACTGCAAAAACATGCTTAAAAAATATATACCCTGCCAGTGTGTATATGTGGCGTATAAAGATCGTGAAGCTGCTGCTGCTGATCATGATGATGGACGGCCCCGGCAACAATGCTGGGAATGTCTGTCTAGAAATCCGCAGCGCGTAAAATTATAAATTCAAGTCGACGCAAACCGAAGTTCGTTGCCTAAGTCTTTTGTTTTGGTTCCAAAGCGCTGCTACTTCTTGTCTTGTTTCATGTTTTATCGATAAGAAGCTCGCAACAATGTTTCCCATTTTAATTTGTTTAAGCAAATATGACTTCATTACTTGCCAAAAAATAGGAAAAAAAAACATTCCGGTTCTCATAAGTCATCTTCAACTAATGACACCGTTTGTACCAGCCCGGCAATAAGAAGTTTTGACTACTGGCGTATAAACATCTCGCTTGGGTGCTAATTACGGCCAACAACAATGGGGACCAGGCATAGAGTTTTGGCCAGCAATCAAGTTTAATTGATGCCATTATCAAATTATGAGCATTTCCAGTGCGTTGCCAAAGTAGGAGGAGGAGGAGTCAAGACTTATAGTAAGTCACGCGGATGGCATCATAAAAAGCTGATGAAACTGCAAAGTGTGTGGGCGTTGCTGGTGTTGTTTTGCATTTTTCTGCTTAATGGGGAGTAGTTTCCCTCCCGTTATTGTTCATTTCATACATCTTAATATGCAGACCGCGAGCCTTTGCACTTGTTACACTTTGGTAATCCATATTCAATTACCATGGAACAGCTTTGGCATCGAAAAATTGGTATGGTATGCGGGCTGAAGTTACATAACACATTTGAGAAACAGAGCCCAAAAAATCAATTGGTCGCGTTAATGAAAAGTGAAAGAGCAAAGTGAAAGACCCTCAAGGCAATCAAAGCTAAAAGGGAGAGAACCCACAGGTGCTGGTGGTATGTTATCGTTATTATTTTATTGAGAGCCAATTAAAGTCAAGTTCAAATGGCCGCACCTCGGGTAATTAACCAAAACAACAACAACAATAACAATAACAATAACGATAACAAAATTATATTGTTGGCCGGGCCTCCAATTGAGCGTTGCCAATTCGCTAAACCGAAATGTAACGCCTTGGGGTCAACATCATTTTAATTTCTGGCACCATATGGGGGTGCAGCATTCATACCCGCCTGGGCTTCACTGTACTCTCTCTCATACAATCGCGTTATGCGTTTTACTGGGCTAAGCCAAGAGCCTTGACAAACATGCGGCTCGAAATTGAAAACAAAACGATGAGAAAACCGAAAAAACACACGCACAAAGTTCAAGTCCAACTAGTGGCATCTGAAAAAACGGTTAGCAAAGTCATGGGGAAGAGCCAACCGAAATACAAACAAACAAGATGTTTGACTGCAGGGCAAAATAATCACTGCTATTTGAGAGAGGACAGACAAATAAACTGTTTTTGAAGTTTTTGTTTCAGTATTTCTGTTAAAACTAATTCATAATTTCGTTCGTGTGAGGGTAAAAGACAATGAGAGTAAGGAAGATGTTATGTTGTTTAGCTGGAAAAAAGGTCCATGAATAGTAGCCACATAGTGTAGAAAATCTGAATTAATATTTGAAATATTTAGCAGAAAAAAGGTTTCATGAAAAAGACAACACTTCTCATTCTAGATTCAGAACATAGAAACTTAAAACTCGCCAAGAAAGCTTCAAAAATAAGATCTGTTCTGAATAAGCAAAATGCTTCTTCAAAGTGAAATCTCTTTGTGAAAACTCTTTGAAAGCCAACAAATTATAATTCCATACTCTCAATATGAAAGACTATTAAAGTCAATTGTCAAGGGATATACGAGTATGAAAACTGGGTATCCCCTGGTCTTTAGAAACCAAACACCTCGAACGCAATTGTTGACTCATTCGCTGGCCATTCAAGCCCGGCTTGGCATAATCATTCAATTGGCAAAAAAAAAATTCTTTTATACTTTTGGGCCAAAAAACAAACAAAAAACTTGAGAAACAAAACGGAAACACTCTGAGTTACCATGATGGAATGGACAAGTTCTGGCAAATCGATTGGGCCAAGATCTACGATTGAATGGCGACCATGGAGCTGGGGTTCTTTTCCTATGGCCATAAGTCTCGCGGCTCCAGATCATCGCAATCAATGTCGCCCGATCAGCGCCACTTGGTCACCTTTTGTCCGGAATCGGAGTAATATAAATTGTGAATTATGAACTTGACGCCAATGTGTCACACACTTGAAAAGCCTCGAGTGCCGAATCAAAGCGAATGGTTGGCTGGCTGTTGGAATGGGTTTTTGGGGATTGGACAAATGTTGTTCAACTGTTTAGCTTAATTAAATCATTTAACGAAATGATTGTGCGCTATTTTGTATCCCATGTCATTGGCTCTCCCCTCCTGAAACTCTTAAACTTTGAGACACAGTGCGAAGGTTAGCACTAAGTGCTTTTTTATACGGGTATTGCGCAATCTGGGAACCTGGGAGTTGCCACCGATGGTTGGAGGATGTAGGTCAGTGCGATGCCACCGCATCTTTTTCTCTTTCTCCTGCTGCTGCAGCTGATGTCTCTTTCAGTCTGTGGCATGCCGCAACCGCAGGAAACGGGTTTGGCCAACTGCAAAAATCAAAAAAAAGGCTATAAAAGAGCAAAGAAAACCTGAAAACTGGGGACGCACAAAGTCACTTTCGCTTGCCGCGACCTTTGACAAGTAAGTGCAACTTGGGGCACCAAAAATAGCCAGTGTGACTGAGAGATTTTAGAGTCTTCTCGTTGAATTTTGTTTAAAAATAATCTATTAAAAAGCATTTGATAAGGAGGTTTTGTATTTTAGGAGCCTGAAATTAAAGTAAAATTGCGAATAGAAGGTCTTTGTTATTATCTGTTTTTATTTAGCTTAACTTAATAAATATAAAATATACACAATTTTATAAAGTTCAATATGAAATATCAGCTAATTGATCGCATAGGTGAAATGCTTTTGTTTTTCCTTTAAAAACTTAAGGCTAAGTTCAAGTTTCTTCTTCAAAATTTCACTTTCTTCAATTAAAAGCTGTCGTTTGTTTCGTGAATCGCTGTAAATTTCAGTTTCTTTCTGTTTCTACCTGCCTCTCATTTAACGTTTCATTATTTCTTTAATTGCAATGTTACTTTCTTTGCTATCGTGGCTTTAATTGATGCCTTGCCCTAATCTACAGTTTTCATCAGTGTTTTGGCCTAGAAAACTGCAACAATTTCATTGTCTCATTGAAGGCAAAGAATGTTGAAGATCGCAGCCAAAGACTTTGACCATAAATATCTGAGCATTGCCTTGGCTTTAATAGTGAAACGAAAAATGTTAATGTCATAAATTTGAATGTCCACTTCCCCATTGACTTTTGCCAAGTCACAGCAGATCTCCAGATCTCTGGCTACTGGTTACCCGAAAGTGTCGGCAAGATAATCTAACTCATTCAGTTCCTGCTTGGTAAACTACTGATTTTTGGACAGCAACCGAAAACACTAACGATTGACCCTATAAGCGGTGGATATATACCCATATGTATTATATATATATATGGTACATTCCTATCTGATCAAAACTGTGTGTCACGTGCAGCAGCCGGTTGTGGGATTTTGTGGTACGGCGCTGCTGCGTTTGGGGGCAATGATATCATGTAATTTGAGACAATGTGCCGTGAACAATTCATTATGGTAACCGCTGACAGCTGCGCCTTGTTAAGTGATATTCAATAGACTTAAGCCGCAAGTATTAGAGGGGATATTCGAAGGGGTTAGGGAGAGCTATATCCATAGCGCGTGCTTTTTAAGCCAGGATTTGTGTTTTTTTTTTTTGGGCCCGAATGGAATGTGAACCAAATTGGTTGTGGCCAGCAGCCTTTCACCTGCATTTGCTGTTGCACTAATTGTTGCACAATCTGTGGATCAGGGGAAAGGCGTCAGGGTGCAGATCAGAGACCCCCAA